CGCGGCGGGCCGGCCCCCGCACTCGCTGGAGCAGGTGCGTGTGTACCCCCGCCCCCAGCCCCCGCCCGCCCCCGCCCCCCACGCGACCCCACTCACGCGCGCTCGCCGCACAGTTCTTGCAGGAGCTGAGGGCGCAGCAGAGGTCCCGCGGCGGCGCGCGCCCCGGGGCGGACGACGAGCCTGCGCCCTACGCCCGGGACAAGGTAACGACTCCTTTTTGTTGTTTCCTCCTTTGGATTGTTTTATATTATTATGAATTAATTTAAATAATAATAAATTTAATTGCCTTTATCCATAATGTCTATAACGGTATAAAATATGTAATATATAAAATGAATATAAGTCTTCAGCCAATTCCGATCATTGAGCGATAATAGGGTGGAAGATCTTCTCCGACGTTTAAGCTTGCAACAGATTTTGTTCGCAAGTCGAAATGTGCCTCGCGAGCGCGCAGCCCGCGTCACCGTTCTGCGCTACGTATTTTATTGGCGCTTCTTGTTCCGTGTACCTACTTGTGTTACTTGGGATATCTATTTCTTGTTTACTTTCTCCTTCTTTCTATCTTTTGCGCTTCGTCATAAATAAAAAACTTTCTTCGTGTCTTTTTGTGTAACTTGTAACGTATTATAAAGACATTATTAATGCCAACCAGACGACCAAAATAGTTTATATTGAAGGCCAAAGTAAACCATTACTTGTGTACCTCTCTAACCGCTCTACTATAGAAATTATATTTCATCCCAGGGCTATCTTACAGAATGACTCCTCAGAAAGAATGCTACGTTGGTTAGAATGAGCTCGTTAACATAAATTGGACTTTTTGGCGGGAACGCGAGGAGTGAAGTTGGGTGACTTGTTTTATTTACGAAAATAAATTTATTATAAAAAAAGAACAATATTCCTAACATAAAAGTACATGTTATTATCCGCAACACGCTTCGTTAGATTACAGAAATAGAATTTGTTTTATTATGTCTATTTAGTGTTTCTTCAGGTTTAAATGTGTAATAGCGGTGGTTTATTAACTGTTTAATATCTGTAAAAGTGCACAAATGTGGGAAAATGAAACAAAGCCGCTGGACGTAACTTCTCGGGATCCTCCAAAAAGTCCACTGAAAAAATCTCAGTAAATGACCACCATTTTGCTGAGATTATACTTCATCCCATATCATTTCATCTCATGTCATTTCATTTCGTTTTCATTTCACTTCATGCTGTTTCATAATAATCAACTTCATTTCATTTCATAATATCATTTTCATATAAAAAAGTTACGTATCATTAAAATAAAAATAAAACTTGACCTAAAGGTCTTAGTTACCAGGTCATAAAATCCCTTAAAAAAATTAACATAAATTCGTAACATCGTTAGAGTACAGTGTAGACCTAGAGATATCGTTTGCAGGCCGTGTCGTGCAGCACGGGGCTGGAGCTGTCCCCCCGCCCGCGCACCTGCCTCGGCGTGCTGAGTCCGCCCCCCGCCCCCCCGGCACCCGCCCCCGCCCCCGCCCCGCACGACGACCGCGCCCGTCTCGACAAGAGCCACTCGACCCCGGCATACGACTTCGGCGCGGAGCCGGCCGGGGACTCCGCCGGGGAGCCGCCGCCCTCGCTCGCCACGCAGGTGATCCCGGAGTCTCCGACTGACACGCTGCACGCGGAGAAGGCGGGACAGATTCTCGACTTCAAGAAGTCCAGCTCGCAGATCGGCGAGGCTATCTTGCACCAGCAGCACCGGCGCGCCGCCGACGACACGGAGCACAAGCTCAGCCACAAGAGGCCGGACCCGGCGGAGGGCGCCTCGCCGCCGCCAGCGGGGGGAGGGCCGGGCGCGAGGGACGCAACAACCACTGAGAAAATTTTAGAAACGTTAAACATCGCCATGATGGAGCACCGGCGCCGGTCGGTGCTGGACGGCCGCGCCATCGAGAGCGCCAGGGTCACCAAGCTGTGCACGGGAGAGCGCGGGAACCTCGACGACCACTACGAGGAGAAAGGTTCTCTACCGGCCAGGTATGTTCATTAGCTTTTTGTAATCGGGATGATGCGCCTATGCAATTTTGACGCCGGGACCTAAAGTCCTGGATTTAATCATGCGCCAGTACTTATTATTATAAATGGTGTACTATAATGTTAACAGAACTGTGGACGGCATGCTGCGTTGTTTCCTTATCATATATGTACGATGTATTCAAACAATATCGACTACCACTATGTGCATATATGTTGCTACTAGATACGGCTACATGCGCAGCACTAGAGCTCCGTCCCCCTCGCCGCGCTCGCGCCCCCCTGCCGCCCCCGCCG